ATGCGAGAAGGCAGCCATCTGCAAGCCACAAAGGGAGCCTTCCATAGACACCCAACTCCGTTGGACCTTGAAGCTGGACTTCCCAGCCTCTGCAAACTGAGGAAATTAATTTCTGTGGTTTAAGCCACCCTGTCTGTGGTATTATGGCAGCCAGAGCTGACTATGACCCAAGTCAAAGAAAGCAGCTTTGAGTGAGTGCTCTGACCTTCCACTTTTGACAGGTCAAAGAACAGCTTGAATTCTGGGAATGAAATCTGGCTTCACATAAACAATGCCAGTGTCAAGCCTGTAAAAGATAGTTAATGGATTAGACAGCAGAATGGTACAGAAGTTGTGACTAAAATACCACAAGGGCACGACCCCCCCTTCCAAGGCTATAAGAAAGTGTGACGCTCCTGCGACTTTAGGAAAGTGAAGGCATAGCCCGGCTATCTGGGACTTCCACTGACTTTCAAAGCCACCATCCTACAGGAGGCTGGGACAAACAGAAGGCAGTAAGTTGACGAGGAAGTGTCGCAGACAGCCACAAAGCTCAAATCAACGGCTATCTTGGCCACTGTATGCATTATCATGAAATAAGAAAAAAGCCACTATTTGAAAACAACAACTACAACAACAAGTGATCAGAACCCCACAGTGGGTAATGTTCCATGTTCCTGTGACTACACCAAGTACCTCCTCTTGGAACAACTAAACACACGGACTGAGGTCATTCTGGTTTGTACTAACAGCCGGGTGCAGAGGGAAAGCAGCAAATGCCCTGGAGAGATTGCTTCCCTGTTGAAAGGTATATTCCTGGCAGAGAAATACCAATCATGCAAAAACAGAACAGGAAAGAGTTGAATACAGCAAAAACCATAAATCCTACCCACCACAGAGAATTGGAAAATTGAATAACCATCTGGAAAAGGAATGGTATCAAATGAGCAGCTGGGTCGTACATGGCGGCTCTTCCCCAACAGGAATGTGGTGAACAGGGAATTCACATCGGAGTCAACAAAAGCTGTGGAAGGGAAATAAGTGGCATAACTCCACGAGCTCAGTGGTAGAAAAATTCGCTCGAACAATGGTGGACGTAGCTTTCCTTGCTACAGGTGTTTAGATAAATATTCTGCTCCTACCCTCAGTTTTGTCAACTGTGTTTTAATTGGTGTAGACCCAGGGCCACTGCCCCTGGAGCCCAGAAATGTCTGTGGTGCTTGGGATAGAGATCAGAGATAAGAATTCGTGGCCTCTGGACTATGGCCTCAGGCACATACATTGTGTTTTATTAATTTGAGCCCATGCTTAAAAATAAGTAGGTGTCAGATGATAATGGGCATTTCCATTTGTTCTGGAAATTCAGAAGACTTGGCAACATTGGGCCTGTGTTCTCACAAGGCAACAGTGTGATGAAGCTTGGACACAACTGTCCCTTGTAGACAGAACATGTTCTCTCTCTGAAACCTCCTTCTGAATTGGCCCCTCCCCCTCCCATTCATAAGTTGAAGCCCCAACCCCCAAAGTGACTATATTTGGAGACAGGGTCTTTACGGAGGCTTTTAAGGTTAAAAGAGGTCATAAGGGTGGGTCCCTAATCTGATTTTTCCCTCTCCCTTTGTGTACAGGTGTATAGAGGAAAGGTCATGTACAGACACAGCAAGAAGCTAGCCAACTCCGAGCCAGGAAGAGAGGTCTAAGGGTAACCAATTCTGCTGGACCTCAAACTTGGACTTGAGTGTCCAGAACCATGAGAAAATAAATGGCTGTTGTTTGGTACTTCATTATGGCAGTTCAAGCCTCCTTATATACAGCTCATACTCCGGAGAACAGGGTTCTCTGAAAATTCCTCCCCGTGGTCCACCCTACACACCTGTCATCTGCCCACTTCTCCGAGACCATTCACTCCTCTTTCTATGCCACTGCTCTAGCTCTGACTCCAGGACCCCTTCCAGATCTGCGGCCTTCTAACTGGAACCTCCATCTTATCTCCACACCATCACTGCACCCCCTTAAAATCGAGCCACCTTATGCCTGAAAGAATGTTCCGTCTAAAGGTTAAAATGGAACCACCTCCCTCTTGCCGTTAAGCCCTCAGGGGTCACATTGCCTCCCAGATTCTAGTGCCCTTAGCACGATGTAGGTTGCTAAGTCCTGTGCAAGAAGCAAAGCCCAGGTCATCGGCATGGACCCATGAGGGCGTTGGGACGCATCAAAGCACCCATGAAGTCCTGTGGACTGTAACAAAGCGCCAAACAAGAGGTCCAAATAGAATTCAATAGGGACACGAGGAAGTTAAACTTTTATTCTCATGGAGGATTCTGGGCACATCTCCTGGAGGAGATATAACATGGAAGATGGGACAGCCTTGGACCAGTGGGCATGGAGTAAGGAAGGGCCCTGAAAGCGCATGTGTCCTTCCTGAGCCTGTGAGTTCTCCAATGCACGTTACAGAATAAATAAGTAAATGGAGTCAGTGAGCAAGATAAATGGCTACTCAACACAACAGCAGCAGAAACAAACATTTGAGGACATGAATAGTCAGTAAATCATGCTTTTCATTCAAAGTTTTCCAGCTAAATCTATTCTAAATCCTAACAAAACCAAGAACCTTTCTCAGTTTAACTCAAATCTATACAAAACCCGATAAACAATGTCAACCTGATGCAACAATATGTGTTTTAATGTTGACATCTTTGGGTGAAAGATACAAGGTACTTTTCCCCCAAAGGATGAGTCCTTTGATTCAATGCCATTTCCAATAAGAGGTTGATATACAAGATATATTAGGCTATGAGACAATGTCTTTATTTATTTATTTATTTTTTAAATGTTTTATTTATTTCTAGGAGAGAGAGAGAGACAGCGTGAGCAGGGAAGGGTCAGAGAGAGAGGGAGTCACAGACTCTGAAATAGGCTCCAGGCTCTGAGCTGGCAGTCAGCACAGAGCCCGACGCGGGGCTCAAACCCACGAACCGTGAGATCATGACCTAAGCAAAAGTCGGACGCTTAACCGACTAAGCCACCCAGGCGCCCTGAGACAATGTCTTTAAAGAGGATGGGCATCAACACCTGTTACTAGAAGCTGGCTCTTTGGAGCACACCAACACCTTTGTTAGACATTATCTCTCAGTTCCTTTTCAAAGAATGATTGCTTATTAATTTTTATATATATCAAACATGCTCTGCTTCATATGTCTTATTTTTTAACAAATTTGTTCAACTGTACAATCACATTAAAACATTACATTGCCACCACCCTAGACCTTATTCATTTTATTCTTCTCTTATGTCTTGAGATCATAGTCCTCTCCTTTTTGAGTTATTTTAATATGATGCATTTACAAATTTTGGCTTGAGCAATTTCAAATCAATTTCTTTCCAGACAAATAGGTGTGTGGGAGCATGCTTTAAGCACTTGCATTTCTGAAATCTATTTTGCCCTCATACACAACCGATAGCTTAATGAGATATGAAATTCTATGATTACAATCACATATTTTTGGAACTCTGGAAACACTGCTCTGTCCGAGTGTAGAAGTCAGTCCTGTAGATGAGAGCTCTGCTTCTGATGTGGTTCTCTTCCCTGTTCAGGCAACCTGCTCACTTATTCAATTTTTTCTTCTCTGTTTTTCTCTCCACCCCTCAGCCCCCAATTTCATTTTATTTTAGAATTCAGATATTTCACCAGGATACAACAGCTAGGTTTGTGTTGTTTAACTCTTCATTTTTTTTTTTCAGTAAGGAAGCGCTTTCAAATTGAAGATTTAATTGTTTCTCTAAAGTTTAAATAAAGGCTGCCTTCATTTATAACCAGGTATCTTACTCAAGTCATGGAATGGGTTCTTTTCCTATGCCTAGCAGAGCACAGAAGTAAACAGTTATTTTTCTTTATTATACCACAAAATTTGGGTCAAAAGCCCACACATTACTTTTTTTGCATTAAATTTATTTTTTTAAGTTTATTTATTTATTTTGACAGAGAGAGGTAGAGAGCACGATGGGGAGGCGCAGAGAGAGAGAGATGGGGTGGGGGGAGAGAATCCCAAGCAAGCTCCGCTCTGACAGCGCAGAGCGCAATGTGAGGCTTGAACTCATAAAGGGTGAGATCATGACTTGAGCTGAAACCAAGATTCAAGGTTTAACCAACTGAGCCACCCAAGCACCCCTTACCATAAAATTTAAAAGGCATCAAGCACCATCAGGAATTCATGATTTTTAAAAATTTTAAATGATTTATTTATTTTTATTCTCCAGTAGAGTGCACAGAAAATGCTTTCCCGGTGTTAACTCGGAGAAGCACTGCTATGCTTGCTACAGCTAAAGCTTTGAGAAAATCCTAGCCCACCATGTAGTAGTTTGTTCCTTTAAAACGCTGGTGCCTTGGGGCCTGCTTTCTTGCAGGCTGTCAGCACCACGCACAGCTCTCGGGGAGCGCGCCAAGCTACCTACTCTGCTTCTGGCTCTGAAAGAGAAGCAAACGTTCCGAGAGCGCTAGGGCTGCAATTACTCAATGAAACAGAAGTGCCACATCTTCGGCTGTTAAAGTAACTTCTACAGGCCACACCCACCGACAACTCTGCCCTAATTCTGCGACTGGAATCAGAGCTTTGCGGTCACGCTAAAAGGTCTTCCAATCTCCTGCCATTTGTGCTCCTAAAGCAAAGTGCAGCGTGACTACACCGTTGCAGGAAATGAGATGCTCGCGTTAGCCATCCCTGTGGATTACAGGCTGGGGAAGTAAATCAATAGAGGGGGGAACATTCCCAGAGTAGCTCATTAATTAATAATAAATGGGCAACTGGCCCAAATCACGAGGTGTGGAAGGCAGCAAAATCAGGCGGCAATGTGTTCTCGGCCAAATCACGGAAGTAAAGACTGTAGGTGTAAAAATCGATCTAGCGGCGATGACAGCGCGACCGCCCTCCCCGCACAAGTCGGCGACCGAAGCCCACCGGGTGCGGCGTTACAGGGGCCCCGCGCGGCCGGGGCGGGGCGGGGCGCGCGCCGACGGCACCTACCCAGCAGCAGGAGCCGGTGCGTCTGCTGCAGGTCGCGCTTCTGCTCGCGGAGCATGCGGTCGATGTTCCTGCTGACCTTCCTCGCCTCCCGCTCCGCCTCGCGCTCCTCCGCGCGCAGCTGCTCCGGCCGCCGTCGCCGCTCCTTCTTCGCGGAGGCTTTGGGCCGCGCACACGCCGGACTCCCGCCGGCGCCCCGAGGGAGCGGGGTCTGGGCCGCGCATCCCCCCACCGCGGCCGGGGCCGGGGCCGGGGCCGGGGTCGGGGGTGGGGCCGGGCAGGGGCGCGCCTCCTCTGCAGACACTTCGGAGGCGGCGTGGGGGACGTCCTCCGGGTCCCCGAAGAGCAGCGGCCGCAGACTGTAGCACAGACCCATGTGGACGCTAGGGCGCGGGGCGCACGGGGCTCAGGCAGGGGCCCCCGCGGAGGGGCGGGAGGGGGCTGCACCCGGATCCAGAGCGGAGCTGCAGCCCGCAGGCTGCGGCCTGGGGGTGCGGCGGGCCCGGGCCGAGTGCCACGGCCCCTCACTGTCCCGGAGGGCCATTTTGCATTTTCCGCTGGGTTCAGGGGGTGGCGGCCGCCTGGGCAGGAGATCACCTGATAATGCGGCGACCGGGCCGCGCCGACGGGCCTCCGAGAGCCCGGCCCCCGTTACCGTAAATACCGCCTTCCGGGCCGTCCGCCGTTACCGTAAAAGCCGCCACCGGGGCCGGCCCACCGTTACCGTAAATACCGCCGCCAGGGCCGACCCTCGTTACCGTAAATACTGCAGACTTGCTGGTTCTATTGTAAATACTATTGCCGGGTCCACTCTGATTACGGTAAATATCGCCGCCTTGGCCCGGCCCCCAAGACGGTAGACACCGCCTCGCGTTCAGGTCTTCGATACCGTAAATACGGTTGCCCGAGTCCAGCATGCAGCTGCGGGCAGTGCCGCAGTGGCGGTGGCGGTGCCGTCACCACCCAGAGCTGCCATTGCAGCACTTAAAATCTGGGATAGTGGTAAAAGAGAACGCGAAGCCGGATAAAGGGATAGAGATGCTAGCTTTAGGATCTTGAACTGCCGGATGTATTTGCAGAGATCACCACACCCTGCCTCTCCTTTTTCGGCTCACTTACATTTTCCACTCATGCAGACATGTCTACACACTTTTGGTCCTTACCTTAATTCTATTATGGCTTTGGTCTCGACAGAGTCTCCTAATCAGGAGGTCCGAGACATTATTTTTAACAATTACACTTAGGAAAACATTGAAAAGGAGAACATGTATACTATTTTTATTTGGTAAGAAGAGTATTTGAAATTGCACTCTGTATACTATTTGTGGATCCACAGAATAGGGTAGAGAGGGAGAAGAGGCATATTCAGACCGAGTGCTCTTTCTCCAGGCCTCCTGTGGCTACAACCTCCTAGAAATCCCTGCTGTTTCCATTGTTTCCCCTTTAATATCCATCACCTCATAGATGGTTTGCAACAGACGAGAATTTCTGTTAACTTTTAAGAACTCTGCTATGTGGTCCTTAATTTCTAGCAAAATGACATGAAATATTACAACTGATGATTAAATATATCTAATATAAATCCCATTAATACAGCAGATTGGTCTGCTTAATGCAACACAGCATGTAACAAGTGCACACTGTACCAACCGACACATTGGTGTAAATATTACATTTGATTAAATTTTTAAAGAAGGAAATTGGGAGATCTAGATTCACATTTATTTTAGGGCCCCATTAATAAGAAATATACATGCCATGTAATGTTTTGCATCTAACATTCCCCCCAACTTTTCCAAAATCGGCTGCACTTTTAGATCTTTGGGTAGTAAGTAGCACACAGTTAAGCGTCTGACTCTTGATTTTGGCTCAGGTCATGATCTTTCAGTTTGTGAGTTCCAGACCCGCCATGGGGCTCTGTGTTGATAGCATGGAGCCTGTTTGGGATTCTCTTTTCCTCTCTCTCTCTGCCCCTCCCCTACTCATTCTCTTTCACTCTTTCAAAATAAACTTTGGGGTGCCTGGTGGCTCAGTTGGTTAAGCGTCTGTCTTTGGCTCAGGTCATAATCTCATGGTTTGTAGGTTCGAGCCCCACACCAGGCTCTCTGCTGTTAGCACAGAGCCTGCTTCAGATCCTCTGTCTCCCTCTCTCTCTGCCCCTCTGCGCTCTCACTCTCAAAAATAAACAGTAAAATTTTTTAAAAAATAAACTTTAAGAAAAATAATACTATACATACACAATGGAATATTATTCAGCCATAAAAAATAATGAGATCTTGCCATTTACAACATGGATGGATGTAGAGGGTATTATGCTAAAATAAATATAATAATATAATATAAATCAGAGAAAGACTAATACCACATGACTTCACTTATATGTGGAATTTAAGAAAGCAAATGAACAAAGAAGAAAAGAGACAAGCAACAAATCAGACTCTTAAATACAGAGAACACACTGGGGGTTGCTAGAGAAGAGGTAGTTGGTGGAGGGGATGGGTGAAATCGGTGATGGGCATTAAAGAATAAACTTACCATGATGAGCACGGAGTAGTGTAGAGAATTGTTAAATCATTATATTGTACACCTGAAACTAATATGACACTGTTGTTTTTTTTTCTTTTAAAGTAGGCTCCACAGCCAGTGCAGAGCCCAGCATGGGACTTAAACTGACAGCCCTGAGATCAAGATCCATCTGAGATCAAGAGTCAGATGCTTAACCGACTGAGCCACCCAGGCACCCCTAGATTTTAATTTTTTTATGTCTGTTCTTTTTTTGAGAAGATGTATTTTTATTTTTATTGAATTAGATAAATGATAAATAGAATTACCATTTTCCAGTTTCATTGCCAGCCTATCAGAGATTAGTTGAGCTTAGTAGTTTGAAGTGCTCAGCATTTTATGGACATCGAGTCTTTCTGATCTACAGATCTCTTCCAACTGATGGTAGCAATGGCATACTTTATTTATATTATGTTGCCCTCAGTAAAACATAGCCTTAAATCTCTTGGCAGTGCTATATTTACCTTTTCAGAAAGATATACTAAGCCTCTATCATATTCCCTTTTTTTGCACCATCGCATTATTTAAAGCTGAGACTTCAGATATGAATTTGAGTCCTGCCCTTATGTAGTCAACACTCTAGTGGTCAACAATTACCACATTATATGTAACTCTGGCTGAGCTTGTGTGTGGACATGATCCTCCTTAACCCACTGCTTAACATTTTATTGCCAAAAGAAAGAACCTTCCAACAGAAAGTTCCCAACTAGATACAAATGTGCAAAATTAGATAACTCCTCAAAGAATCTTTTTTTTTCCTTTCATAGTTTATTGTCAAGTTGGTTTCCATATAACACCCAGTGCTCATGCCTATCACCCCCTTCCCCTCTCCCCCACCCCCATCAGCCCTCAGTTTGTTCTCAGCATTCAAGAGTCTCTCATGGTTTCCCTCCCTCCCTCTCCCCAACTATTTTTCCCCTTCTTCTCCCCCATGGTCCTCCTTTAAGTTTCTCCTTATCCTCTTATATGTGGAAACATATGGTATCTGTCCTTCTCTGCCTGACTTATTTCACTCAGCATAACATCCTCGAGTTCCATCCACATTGCTACAAATGGCCAGATTTCATTCTTTCTCATTGCCATGTAGTATTCCATTGTATAGACAAACCACATCTTCTTGATCCATTCGTCCGTTGATGGACATTTAGGCTCTTTCCATGACTTGGCTATTGTTGAGAGTGCTGCTATGAACGTTGGGGTACATGTGCCCCTGTGCATCAGCACTCCTGTATCCCTTGGGTAAATTCCTAGCAATGCTATTGCTGGGTCCTAGGGGAGTTCTATTGTTAATTTTTTGAGGAAAACCTCCACACTGTTTTCCAGAGGGGCTGCACCAGTTTACATTCCCACCAAGAGTTTAGGAGGGTGCCCATTTCTCCACATCCTTGCCAGCATTTAGAGTCTCCTGATTTGTTCATTTTAGCCATTCTGACTGGCGTGAGGTGATATCTCAGTGTGGTTTTGACTTGTATTTCCCTGATGATGAGGCACGCTGAGCATCGTATCATGTGTCTGTTGGCCATCTGGATGTCCTCTTTGGAGAAGTGTCTGTTCATGTCTTCTGCCCATTTCTTCACTGGATTCTTTGTTTTTCAGGTGTGGAGTATGGTGAATTCCTTATAGATTTTGGATGCTAGCCATTTATCTGATATGTCATTTGCAACTATCTTTTCCCATTCCATCAGTTGCCTATTAGTTTTCTTGATTGTTTCCTTTGCTGTGCACAAGATTTTTATCTTGATGAGGTCCCAATAGTTCATTTTTGCTCTTGATTCCCTTGCCTTTGGGGATTTGTCAAGTAAGAAATTGCCGCAGTTGAGGCCAAGGAGGTTGGTTCCTGCTTTCTTTTCTAGGGTTTTGATGGTTTCCTGTCTCACATTCAGGTCCTTCATCCATTTTGATTTATTTTTGTGTATGGTGTGAGAAAGTGATCTAGTTTCATTCTTCTGCATGTTGCTGTCCAGCTCTCCCAGCACCATCTGTGAAAGAGGCTGTCTTTTTTCCATTGGATACTCTTTCCTGCTTTGTCAAAGCTTAGTTGGCCATCCATTTGTGGGTCCAATCCTGAGTTCTCTATTCTATTCCATTGGTCTATGTGTCTGTGTTTGTGCTGGATGCTCTTAATCCAATAAAGTACAGTGGCTTGTGACTGAGAATGAAATTACCTGTCCACGCAGTGACTCCTCAGAGGGACCCTGTGTGACACTGCCATCCTTGTTAGTAGTCAATGCTGCCATTTGGATGCTACCTGTGCAGGAGACATTTGCAACAAATGTTTGAAAAAGGTCAAATCCCCTCCAGGGAGGCTGGTGGCCCCAAGTACCTTCGCCAGCAGTTGGTCTCCTTCTGTTCCACCTCTGCACCAGCTTCCTAGGGTTCTCACCTCTCTTGCTGCTCTCTGGCCACCTGCTCTTCCTTTCGATCTACCTATGATCCCTAATAGGAATTGCCTGCTGACACTGACCAACACATTCCAGGGCCAGGGGCTCTTATCTAAGTCCCAAGAATTCTTAGAAGGGAATTCAGGTTTTTTTCCTACTTTCTTCCATACAGCCAAAGAATTTCAGAGCTTTTCAGTACTTGGTATTGGCTGCATGACCTTGGGAAGATTTTCTAATGACTGTGTGCCTTAGTTCGTAAGTGGAGCTCATCATAGTGTCTGTCTCAAGAGGTGAATAAAGTGATGCCTGGAAAGGGTTCGACACCATGTGACATACAGCAAGCTCTGCACAAATGTTAGCTATATCATCAACATGACCACCAAACACCACTACTGCCATCATCCTCACCATCATCATCATCATCTCCACCATCACCATCATCACCATGATCATCACCATCATTCTGACCATCACTGTTACCACCACCACCACCACCATCATAATCAACACCATCTCACCACCATTACTACCATCATCACCATCACCATCACCATCATCATCATCATCATCATCATCATCATCATCACCATCATCACCATTATCATTG